CCGTGCCCCCAATAAAGTAGCCAATTTCCTTCACTAATTTCTTCTCTGTCTGGTTAAATTGCTTATTCTTTTCTTATTCCTTCTGTCTGGTAGGACTACAATTCTGTTTTTGTGGAATCCTAATAGATTCTGAGTATCTCCTGCTTTTCCCTGACTCTGCCTGTACTCACAACACTGGAGACACACTACAGATACTTCATGAGCTTAGATTCTTCTTACTCTTTCATTCTTGTGATTCTCAACTTCTTGTGATTTTTTGCTTTTCAACTCCCAATATGTAATATATTTATTTAGTATTCTCTGCCAGGACACAGGATTGTCTCTCAGGAGTTGGTAAGCATGACATACTGGCTGGTCAGTAGCAAGATTTCTTACCACAGCACACCCTATCCCAAACTTAGTTATCAATATTCCCATCATAAATTTACTAGATTATCAAAATTCAATGCACTGAGTCAGTCAGGGTTCTGATTTCACTAATCCTGTTACTGGTTTACCCAACCTACAGCCTTTATAGGTCCTAAGTGTGACAATTCAAATGCAAAACTGTTCAAAGTTGACCATGGCAACCACACCTGAATGATTCTATGCAATGCAACTAGTGACCCTTGATGTTCTAATAACAATATCTTTTCAAATTCCATCCCATATTCTCACAGTTCCACATGAGGAAATCCTTTGGAAAAGCTTGTGGGGGAGATGCTGCCTTATAAGGAGATCTGAGCTGCCTTATAAGGAGATCTGAGCTCCTAGGTATGGCTATCCAACCGTTTGGAAGAAGGCTCAGTTACCCTGTATGTGGATGAAGTGAGAGAGAAAAAGGCTGAGGGGAAATCCAAACTCTTAAGAAAAGGTGCAGCCAAAGGAGGCTGGAAGTCACTCAGGAGTGGAAACGGTGAACCTCCTGAGCACCACAGCTAGAGAGATTTTATGAGAAGTGTCAATCTGAAACAAAGATAATTTGCATTGAAGTATAAAGCCTCTTCTATCTCACCCCTTTAAAATTGTCAACCACTGAAATTAATTTTAGGGAACATGAAAATGTACTAAGGTCTCCACCAAGGTTAACTCAGGGCAAAAACAGAGAGCACATGGGTCAGCGAGAGAACTAGGTTACACAACCATAGCATGTTAACTTGCTCCACTATGAACCATTACTTCTGTAACAGTTTGGGCATACTTTTCCAGAGAGACTCAATTTTTTTTTTCTGTTCATTAGTGCTATTACAGTATGGCTTTGTGCTATTCTTAAGGATGTGATTCTATGAGAAATCATAGTAAAAGGAAAAAATTTTGCCACATTTTTAGATTTTGCTTTTGACTTCTCCAAAAATTCTTCTATAAACTTGACTTATTAGCCCCTTGTCCTGCTACTTCTCTTCCTGAAAAATTGAGTCCTAAAGCCATTTGGTGGCTCAAAGCAAGGTATTCATCCATACTTGGGGTAATAGAGGAGACCTGGTGGCCCAGAGAAGAATTTTGGAGCCCAGCTGGGGTGAGGAGGGTGTCCATAGAGGGAGCTGGTAGCTGGCACTGTAAAGAAATGTGACAATTAAATGCAAAGGATGATTCTTAACTAGATCCTTTTACGATAAGGGACATTTTTGGGCAGTCTGTGAAACTTGAATGGGTTCTGAGATTTAAAAGATAGTAATGTATCAGTAAAAGAGCCCTGGTGGCACAGTGGTTAAGCGCTTGGCTGCTAACCAGAAGGTCAACAGTTCGAACCCACCAGCTGCTCTGCGGGAGAAAGATGTGGCAGTCTGCTTCCGTAAAGATTTACAGTCTTGGAAACCCTATGGGTCAGTTCTACTCTGTCTTATAAGGTCGCTATGAGTCAGAATCCACTCGATGGCAATGGGTTTTGGTTTTGGGATGCATCAATGCTAGATTTCCTGGTGTTGATGGTTCTATTGTGGTTATGTAGAAGAATGTCCTTGCTTGTAGAAAATACACACCAAGTACTTAGGAGTGATGGAGCATCAGATCAGCAACGTACTCTGAAATGGTTCTGGGTGAAAGAAAGTTCTTTATACTATGCTCACAACTTCTCTGTAAGTTTGAGATAAATTTCAAAATAAAAAGAGTATCACTTCCTATTTAAGATTTCTAATATGTCTATTGAATCATAATGTTATGAAAATGTAGGACTAATTTCATGACACAATCATCGAAGAGCTATATCTACCTCCAAATATAACTTTTTTTAAAAAGGGACATAAAAAAATAATATTCATAAAACTAAATTATTAGGAGAAGAATTTTCAAGACAGCAGCATGAAAACGCAGGCAGCTATGTCTAATTAAAATATCTTCAAACAGTGTCTGTGGGTGGAGGCTGACAACTCATCAGAGAAATTTTCTGAAAATATTGATTTTTACAGTATGTTCCTAAAAAATTAATAAAAATCATCCTCAACACAGATCAATTTATATGTACCCTTGAGATCTCTGAAATGTGTGATGTTCTACCTCCGGCATACAAGTATATTGTTTTGACTTTGTTTTAATCAACTGGTTGAAAAAATATAGCTAAATAATTTTAAAATAATTTCACAAGTGAGAACACTATTTACAACATAACTCATTATTACATAGATTTGACTATTTCCTTCATCAAATTATGTGCTCTGCAACAGCCATGTGCAGCCAAAGCCTGATGTAGATGAGTGGCTTCTCTATGAAATGTTGCACGCGCTGTTATTAAAAAGTCCCACTATATCTTACAAATGAAATGGTTACTTTCATTGTTTTCATGCATTAATCATAGAGCAAAAATGTATTTTTACATAATAAGCTATTTATTGACTGTTCAAACTATTGATTTTATTTCTTCATAACTTATGAGTATTCTAGAAATTTCCAAAGATTTACAAACTTGGTAAGGATAATGAGCAACAGGATTATATTTGGGTTCTACAATAATCTTTGAAATTATATAAATCTAAGATTAAAAAATGGCATAGTTACCCTTCAGAGTGAGAATAGGATGGCCATGTAGAATGTTGCCAAGTATTGGTCCACTTCCATTCCTTTTTTAATACCTTCCATGGGACAATTTTTACTCCTTACATTATATCACTGTTTTTTCTATTCAACAAGTAATTTGCAGAGTCCCTAACAAATAATGACACAGACTTTATTTATAATGAGTTATTTCTTGGGAGGGGGGAGATAAGATTAAAGCACTCAACATAATTTGAGCACCAAAAAGTGCTGAAATTGAATTAATTACTTGTTGGTGTAGATTGGAAGTTTTCTTGGGAGAGATTAATGTGAACTGCTTTCTGAAGTCCCAGAGTTTTCATAGTCCTCCTCATTCTATTTAACGTTTATTTCTAGAGGTATAAATATATAAAGTCAGGTGATATTCCAAAACTTTAATTTTAAAAGTGATTTTTTGGTACTCAGCACACATTGTTCCTTAGAAAAATAGTTACAAATGGTGACTAATTTTCCCTCAAAAACAAAGAATAAATTATCTATTTTAATAGTATATTCTCACCTATCTGAAATCCAGGAAAATCTGAAGCAAGAATTCCAACAAGATTGGAGCCCACATATTGGGGGAAAATGATGATGATGAAGGTGCTGCTCCAGGAATTGGGGAATGGATGAGAAACCAAATAGGGCCTCTGGAATGAGAGTGGGGTCTTGAGAAGGCCAAGCAGTGGTGAATGGAACTGAGTGTTGAGCTGAGTTAGAAAGGTCATGTGGTGAAACTCTTGTATATATGATGGAAATGGAGACAGTGAGCCATATTCCTTCTTGTATCCTACCATACGCCACCAGAGGATCTCAGTAATGGCACTGCATGCTCCCAGCTCCTCAAGCCAGGTCAGCAAATTCTGTTCATTCTGCCTCTAAATTACGTCTCAAATGTGGTCACTTTTCTCGTGAACTGACACCATCCTAGACTAAATTCCATCATCTTTCACCCAGACTACTACAGACTGACAGCCCAGCTTCCACTCTTGCCCTCCCTAATCTCCTAGTTGCCCCTAGCAGCTCACCCTAGCAGTGCAAAGTATATGTGTTTCCCAAGTGGTCTCTAGGCTTCATTGATTTTCCTTTGCACTTTAAATAAAATCCAAACCCTTAACTTGACCCAGAGAAACCTTTCAATCTCATCAGTCACAGCTCGCATCATTCGCTCGCCCTTGCTCACTCTGCTCTTGTCACAGCAATCTTTCAGTTTCCTGATTCTCTGCCTGAACCCTCTCCATCACCACTTCAACCACCCCCACCACTTCCCCACTTCTGCCTCCTCCATGCCCGTTGGTGACTTCCTCTTCTTCCTTCAGGTCCCTGCTTAAATGGCACCTTGTTACAGAGACACCTACTAACTCCCCTTTGTATAAAGCCGCAGCACTCAGTTATGTTCAATTGTAGAACCTGTTTTCTTTCTTTTTGAATCTCTCAAAATTGTAATAATTAGTTGACTTATTTGATGTGTATCTTCCCTGTTGGATGATAATCTCCACCAGGGCAGGAATTCTATTTCATTCCATTCTGCATGCACAACTCTTGCATAGGCCCTCCCACATAGGAACTATCCAATAAATGAATGAGCACATGGCACATGCTTTCTTCTAATCTTCTTTGTCTCCTTCCTCCTTTAGTACCAGACTAGCCTTGATTCTGAGCCATTAGTAAGAGTGCAATAAATTCCTGAAAAGAAATTTAAGGAGAAGAGGGGAATTGAGCTTAACTATAAAGGATGAACATATATTTCATAGAAAAAGATGCATGTGGAAGACATTCCAGGTGGGACACAGCCTGAACAGAGGCAAAGAGCGGAGAATCCTGGTGACTTCTGGAGACACGGAAATGAACATCTTATTTGGGGTGGAGGTTCTTGGAAAGTAGTTGGTCTTGGGTTAGTAAGTAAGGTGAGGCTGCCATGTGCATACCAGGATGAGAAGGTCTAATGTTCGCGACACAATGACTTTGTATCACCTCATTCAAATAGTGTGTCTTCTCTCTCCTTCTCGTCACAGTTGCTCACGGGAGTGGACAGGATGTCAAGTGTTCCCTTGGCTACTTCCCCTGTGGGAATATCACAAAGTGCCTACCTCAGTTTCTTCACTGTAACGGTGTGGATGACTGTGGAAATCGGGCCGATGAGGACAACTGTGGTGAGTGAAGCCAGCTGTAGTCACAGCAAGAGGCCAAAGGACTTGAGAAGGGAGCGAAAGGACTGACGGGGAGGTCACTGGGACGCCTCTGAACAAAAAGAGAAATGGGAAAAGAGAAAACAAAATTGATATGCAAAATATATGTTGCTTAAGGACATCTTACATTTATTTCATTAGCTTAAACTATTCATTCTTTTCTCCATAATAGTATCACAGCCAGTATTTCAGGAAAATAGTTATTGTGTGTACAGTATTTTAACCCAGAAAACCTGCCCAGTTAGTCTGTTAGTGGCAGAATGGTTTAGAAATTGAAAATATGGGCTCTGGAGCCAGACTGTTGAACCGGATTCAACAATAACCAATTACGTAAACTTGAGAATATGTGTTGACCACTCTGCGCCTCAGTTTCTCATTTGTAAAAGTGTTTAATAATTAGACCTACGTTATGAGGATTTGTGAAGATTAAATGTAAAAGACGAGAACAGTATCAGACATATGGCAGGTGCTACATACGTGTAACAAAGCCCATTGCCGTGGAGTGGATTCCAACTCATAGCAATCCTACAGGACAGAGTAGAATTGCCCCATAGGGTTTCCAAGGAGCCACTGGTGGATTTGAACTGCCAACCTTTTGGTTAGCAGTTGAGCTCTTAGCCACTATGTCACCAGGGCTCCAAGGTATAGTTTTAACCAGCTTTACCTATATGTTGCAGCCCTAGTGGCACAGTGGTTAAGAGCTCAGGCTGCTAACCAAAAGGTCAGCAGTTCAAATCCACCAACCTCTCCTTGGAAACCCTATAGTCAGTTCTACTCTGTCCGGTAGGGTCGCTATTAGTTGGAATCAACTCGATGGCAACAGGTTGTTTTTTGTTTTTGTTTTTTGCTATGTAAGTGTTAGATGCTATTATTCTTTCTTTACTTTTGCTTACTACAGGTAAAGAGGGAGAGTGAGGCCCCCTAAAAGAGAAAAAATAATATGTACGTTCAGCTTACCTGTTATTTAACCAACAACCATACCTACGGCCTTGTAAAGTCAACAGTGAGGCATCTAGTCAATCAGAGCACCTGGAGAAACGTGGCTTTTAGTTAGACTATTGTTACCATTTCTGCAGCCTTGGAAACATAAATTTATAAAGAACTTGAATTGCCTGAATTTGACTCACTACAGAAATAAAAGCCTTCGTTAATATTATAAAATAATAAGCTTTCTCCCTCGTGGAGAAATAAGGTTCTATATTTGGAGGACAAAATCATGCATAACAGTGTTAGTTTTCAAAGTTCTACATAATTAACTGTCACACTGAAGAAGCCTTGCTGTCATCATTGCCTCAAGTATGACTCACTTTTTAAGGCACCGCCTTGGAAAAATCAAACTTTTCAGTCTGGAACATAATCTCTAGGTCACAGCAGTAGACCAAGCATACCATACTACATGAATTTGTGAGCTTAAGCTGCAAGTATGTTTCATTTGGTTAGCTATGTGTTTTCTTCTTTTAAAAAGAAAATGGCTTGTTAAAATAATTTAATACTAAGAAAATGTTTTTAAAAAAAAAACCTACAAGAATTATCTGCCCACTGCCAACCACTTGTCCTCAACCAGCAGACAATGCAGACAGGGAGTCCTAGGTGGAGTAATAGGATAGCGTCCCACTGGCAACCAATGGAAAGGCAGAAGGGGGCAGGAAAAGGAACCTAGTAGGAGCAGGAAGTTCACCACCAAAAGTAGCTTCTCAGTGAAACAAGTTTGGGAACTCTTGCTGTGGTGCGCATCTTAAAGAGACCAAGTAACAGTTCTTCAAGTAATAACCCTTGACGTCATGCAACTTTCTCGTGCGTGCATTGTGTTCTTGTTGTTGTTGGGTGTCCTTGGATCTCGACTCATAGTGACTCCATGGGACAGTAGAACTGCCCCATAGGTTTCCAAGGCCGTAATCTTTACCGAAGCAGACTGCCACGTCTTTCTCCAGTAGAGCGGCTGGTGGGTTCAAACCACCGACCTTTTGGTTAGCAGCTGAGCACTTAACCACTGCTATATAATAACTTTAGTGGCTTAAAAAATAACCATTTATTTAGCTCATGATTGTGTAGATCAGCAACTTAGGCTGGACTCGGCTGAGAGCAGCTGGGCAGTTCTTCTGGTTTCAGTTGAAATTTCTCATGCACCTGTAGTTATCTGTGGATCAGCTTCATCATGGTGCCTGGGACCTCGGCTGGCACATTTGGGATGACTCCATTCTAAACCAAACCAGTTGCTGTTGAGTTGACTCCAACTCACAGCAACCCGATAGGACAGAGTAGAACTGCACGATAGGGTTTTCAAGGAGCGGCTGGTGGATGCGAACGGCCAACCTTTTGGTTAGCAGCCAAGCTCTTAACGTGTGTTTTGTCATCCTCCAGAAGTCTAGCCAAAACTTGTTCTAATGGTGGACACATGGCACCCAACCATGCAAGCAGAAGCATGCATGCCTCCTTGAAGCCTAGGCTCGGAGCTGGCCTACTGTCTCTTCCACGTCATTGCCAAAGCAAGTCACCAGGCCAGTCCTGTTCCAAAAGGTGGGCAATAGGCCCCCACGTTCAATGGGAGGCACTGCAGAGTCACACTGTAAGGGGCGTGGACACAGTGAGGGCAATAATGGCAGTCACTGTTGCAAGATCTACCACAGCTGATATTATAATGGCTTTTCTCACCAACAACTCCCGGTGACTCAGAGTCCCCACTTGCATAACCGTAGGAAGCCCTGTCTGTTAAACAATTTAAAAATTCCTAGGAACAACCATAGGTTATTTATTTACTTACTGAAACTGTGGCTGACACCTGAAGGGATAACATTTGTCTGCACTCTTGATTTTGCAGTTATATGTATATGAATGTGTGTGCGCTCGTACGTACGTGTGTATATGTGTGCATGTGTATCCTGCTGATATGGGGATATTTGGGGAGTGGGTGAGTTTTCCCACATCTTTTGAAAATATACCTATAGTTTATTATTTAGGGAGATACAATGTGCAGATTTCTACGTTTGCCCTTTATTGTGTTCATTACCTTAAATGCTGATGAATTTTAATAGAAAGCAATATTGCATTAGGAAAAACATAAAGTTCGGACAACAAGCATTGGTTTCATTCTTGTGAAAACAATACTTAATCAGAACAGAAATCGGGTCAGAAATGTATCTGAGTTTCTCTGCGATGGTTTCTTCTTTCTCCACCTCGTTCACTTTCTGCTTGGCTTTCTCTTCCTCGCGGTGTTTCCCGTCCTCTCTCTGGGTCCGGACCTCCTTCTCCCTTTGGTCTCATCAATCTTCTGTTTCCCCCGCTTCCGTCCTGCCTCTTGAACTCTCCCCCCACCCCCGTTACTGTCTCAACTTCCCTTGCCATCTCATGCTTACCTGTTCACCTACTTCTGCTCTCTTTCAAACCAAGTCACCACGAGATTCATAAATTAGGATTTAATTACTATTTAGCTCACTTCATTAATTTTGTAAGCTGGCTATTATAACCATTTAAGTATCTGTACTCAAAAGAAAACAAAATCGAAGCCCTTACTTTTCATTTTTATGTGGCTCTAATCGATTGCTTCTATCCCAACCGCTTGGGCGAAGTATTCCAGAACAGTGGTTTATATCTTACAGTCAATGGACTCTTTGAGATGCAAGAAAATCTTCAGTGGGTCTGTGAATCACCTGAAAACCGTCTGTAAAATAGTGTGTGTTTGTGTACATGGGCATTTTCAATGAGAAAAGTGTCTCTAACCATCAGCTTTGCAAAAAGGATTTGTATATTTGAAAAGGCAAAAAGTTTCCTCATCTCTGCCATTGGCTAAAACAGGAATCTCCTAACAAACTATTTAATCCTAAATTGGAATCAAAAAAAAAACACACTGTTGCCGTCGAGTCAATTCCGACCCATAGCGACCCTATAGGATAGAACAGAACTTCCCCGCAGGGTTTTCAAGGAGCAGCTGGTGGATTCGAACTGCTGACCTTTTGGTCAGCAGCTGAACGTCTAACTACAGCGCCACCAGGGCTCCCACTCCAAAATGTATTAATATAAAATGTTCTATTGCCAGTAGTTTAAAAAACAATAACAACAACAACAACTTTTCCCCACTTACTTTGATTTCTTTTAAAATGGGAACAGTCATAGGGTTGTAGGAAGATCCCTCAACTTTTAGATACGTCCCAAGTTTCTCATGTATCAAGTAGGGGTAATAAGTTTGTTGTGAGGATTAAGTGGGATACATGTGTGAAAATGCTAGTCCCATAATTTAAAAACGAAACAAAGCAGAAACAGTTGTCGATCCTGACTCACGGCAACCCCATATGTGTCAGAGTAGAACTATGCTTCACGGGGTTTTCAATGGCTGATTTTTTCACAAATAGAAACCAGATCTTTCTTCTAAAATGCCTCTGCATGGACTCCAACCGCCAACCTTTTGGTAAATAAACCATCCAAACCAAACCCGTTGCCATCGAGTCCATTCTGACTCACAGCATTAGTAGCCGAGCCTTTAATCATTTGCACCACCCAGAGACTTGTCATATAATAAACCAAATCTGTTGCTATCGAGTCAGTTCCATCACATAGTGACCCATGTGTTACAGAGTAGAACTGCTCTGTAGTGTTTTCTTGGCTGGAATCTTTACAGAAACAGATCACCAGGACTTTCTTCCATGGTGCCACTCAGTGGGTTCAATCCACCAACCTTTAGTTAGGAAACCACTTGTGCCACCCAGCGACTTCTCATACAGTAGGCACTCAATAAATGTGTGCAGGTCAGATTATTGACTACTGTGCTGGGCATTTACCCTGGAGTTCACACCTTTTCCATCCTGTTCCAGAAGGTGTTTACATTTGATTTAAATGGACGCCAAACCAAGGAAGTATGAAGTCAGTAGAGTCAAGATAGCACAAGCAATCTATTTATAAGGTGCCTGCCAACTTGTTGTCTGAGGGATTTATGGCATGAGTGGGGAATGGTGGTGTCACCACAGACTATT